CCTGGAACTTATCGTGAGGCCGACTGCAATGCGCAGAGTCCATATTCTCCTTCCGGGTCCTCACGTTCTACTGCAGTTCAAAGTATTGTCGTCATTAAGATAAGCTGGAGAGTTTGACTATCGGAAATGGTTATGTTCCCCTTGCGCTCCACGACGTATTGGACACAGTGCAGTGACTTGCGCATGAATTAGTTTATAGTAACAGCAGACTTGCTTAGCATCTATTGTACTCTCTTCCCTCATTCCTCTGGGACCGGGGCAAAAAAGGACGACCGGAGAAAGACCCGGGTGCAATAAGTGGCAATGCCCAACAACCCTCTCCCGCGTGCCACAGATGTCCTAGTCAATGCATAGTGTATCCTAAAAACGCAGAGGGGCGCGTGTGAACGCTACAGAGACCTGCCTATTGTTCGTGAGAGGACCATATCACTCAGGTATTGGAAAGCCTCGTGAGCTGCGATTTTTTCGCCCATTATCTAGATCGCAACTTGCCGTAACGTAGCTCCTCTTGAGCACAACCGGCTGGTTGCTGAAATGTGTTTGTGCCTAGTGCTCGTGAATACTGTCAAATTAATTCTGCCCTACGACTACAAAACATGGCATCTGCAAAGTGGTGTTTTTTAACAGGGCTGTGAATATACCTAACAGACGCTTTCAGGGACCTGCTACTTCGCTGCTGTTTGAAACAACTTACTGCCGGTCATGAGTTACAGGTTGTTGTCACAGTTGACTCAGTCACTTCTCCTATTGAATTGGTAGTGAGCTCACTGTCCTAACCCCTGTGCGACATGGCACAGTCGTAGTTGCGTCCAGTTGAAAACTGGGCAATTTTCATAGGCGAATGTCGCACCCAAAAGTCTTTGATGCTCGCGACTGAAGAACGGTTCCTAAAGGTTTTAGCATGAATAGCGCTTGTCTGCGATGCTATAAACTGGAGCTGGATAAATGATGTTACTGTTGAGTTTATGCATTTAACTATACAGGCCATGTTGCCTAATATGCGTGTTGGCAAATTTGAGCAAGCTAATTACTGCGCAATAGCGAAGACCCAAACTGCATTTGTTTTGCTACTTTGTGAAAATTAGTAGGATTGATATTCAGATATGAATAATTCATCATACTAACAACACGGAAACTAGTTAAAAGCCCAGCCACGTTTCGCAGATTTTGTGCCGCTGAACAATGTAGCTAGAGGGTTTCTGTCCACCCATGAGTCCTGTCGCGTGCCCTCCAGTTTTTCATTTTCAGCCTTTGAACCTCTACGGAAATTAATGCTAACTCATAGCAAATCCGTTGGAGCAAACCTTTCCAGACTGGGTCCACGGAATAGCTATGTAATATTCGTAAGCTCTAAAAGGATATTCAGTAGAATGCAAATTTTGGACGATGCACCATACTGGCAGCACAACTACTGACCTAGGTAGTAATCTTAAATGAGATATATAGGGCATCTTTTTTCCTATATTTGCAAGCTTTTCGTGCAAGCAATTATTCCGTTGTGGAATATAGCTAATCTGAGTCTGTCGGCTAAATTGGCTGCTGGGTCAGGGGAAATGAACGCAAGCTCCAGCGGGCTTTTAAAATTGTGGCGTCATTTTTTTCTGCTCTCCATTCACATATAAAATTTCTTGTATTGTCGCATTCGTCATCTCTTAAGGGGGAAGAAGAAGAGGTGTGTTCCTAGACTGAGTTATATTTATACTGACAATCCGGAGCCGTTCTTTCTTCCATCATCAGAAGGTTGTAGTTGCGGCGTCTGGTGGTCTTGAATTAGCCAGTCTTGCCGCCTGCCTCGTATTATGGCCGTGCTAGACGCGCGAACTTTGAACTGCCCGTTCGTTGCTGACCCCATTTACTCTCCTGGAGTTTGGCCGCTGGCAGGCTTGCGTGACCTTTGCCCCTTTTGGGGTCAGCTTAATTGTGGTCAAAGTCCTACGACAAGACAGTGCCCGACAAATCTGTTCCGGACATTTCGCCGTTTTTTTCACAGTTAACCCCTAATATTTTCAATGGCGATACTAAATAAAATCACTCCGGTGTTCTCAATAGTGGAACCTGAGATACTAAAACCAGTTTATAAGAGGAAGTGAAGTGTGAACTTGCTATCCATTTCGACACTGTAATGCCTCAAACACGTTGGAACCTTGGTTTGTGTTCAACTGCCAGGCCGCTTAGAGGTTTGACTCGGTTCTTCAGCTTTAGCCAACGCAGGGCCATGCATGTTTACAGTTAATAAAAGAAGAAAAGGAGTTGAGGCGAAGCCTGATCATGATAACTGAGTGGCAAAAGGCAGTTGAAGGCGCTATGAAGAAGCGAATCCTCCTAGTGAAGCCCCCTCGCTACTAGTGTCAATATATTCGCTTTAAGCATCATCAAGTTTTTGTTAGTAAGAATATGGAACTGTAATCCTATTCGGGCTTGTTATCTGCTGGCGTAACGACTACGGTGGGTGATCAGGTCACAATTTGCCAACTGCGTTTTCTAAAATCCGGCGCCAGTATTTGTCACAATTGGGTATCCTATAAGTAGACACTTGTGATCGCTGCAGATGCCTCCGACTCCTATCCACCCCCATTTAAAAAGGAGAGGAAATAGCACGATAATTCAGGAGTCATATAAATCCCTCCTGACCCTACTGTACCATTCAAAGAAATAAAACGATTTGGACTCCAATCTTCTTCGTAACGGTTTTTAGAACTTTCTTGTGCCAGACAAAGCTTGTAAATAAGGCCTGGCTGGTAAATCGAAGTTAATGGCATGTATGCACACGCCTACGGCGCGGCTTGCCGTGACTACCCCAAAACAACTTTCACTATTTATCGTTAATTGACAGGTTCTGTGTTCGCTCCTGCCATGCTTCAGCGGACCATGTTCCCTGCGGTCTGGGGCGCGCTGGCACCTTTCTTG